ACCTTTAATTCCACGACTGACGCTACTAAAAAGGACAAATTTTCTTTTCTGGATCTCTGACAGCAGGACTTTAATCTCTGAACTCGTAAAGTTCTTCTTTTTAATTTTCACTGTCATTTTCATGAATGGACACTTCCTGGTATCTGAGGCAGGAAACATAGCCTTATATGGTGTTTTTGGGGTGGTAATTCTGCTAATCTCCTCTCTACGAGCAGCTGGATATGAACAGGTGGAATTCATCATGTTTACGCAGCTCATTTACACACTTTTCCTGAAGATAGAAGAGTTTGTTGAATCTGACGTGACATGTTCGTACAAACCCTTCATACGAACAAAAGTAAGAAAAATTTAGGATAAGAATACGAACATGTTCTTGCGTGAGGCCCAATGTCCCCAAATGGATAGCTGTGCAAACGTGTGTTTGCATGAAAGTGCCCGTTGCTGCTTTTGAAAGTTTGCAAGTGCCTCGGTTTGTGTTTCATACTTGAGGCAGGGAATGTTGCCTCCGTCGGAGTTGTTGCTGCTGGTAGACGGGTGTGAAGGCGGGCCGCTCGTCTGCGGGGAGGCACCGGGGGTGGGATGCGCCGACGTCTGCTCGCCGCCGCCGCCGCCGCCGCCTCCTCCTCCTCCACCATCTGGAGACTCCGTTTCGCTCAGCTCGTACTGCATCCTCACCTCCAGCAGCTGTAAACACACACAGAGACAAGCCGGCCCATTCGTAGATGAGGGGAAACGACATAAAACCAAAAAAAAGAAGAAGTAGAACGCGACAGCGAATGACATTGCTTTGATGAAAATGGATTTGCTTGGCGTGTTTTTTGTGTGGGCAGACTGCAAGTCAAAGAGGTCCTTCGAAATCCTCCTTCAGGCTCCCCCCTTTTACAACCTCCGCCATCGCAAACTCCTGAGCTCACACACAATGCTCATAAGCTCCTCTCGTTTGCATTCTGTCAGTCTCATTAGCCCCGCTGACATGTGGGAGTGATCAGTGCCCTTCTTCAAGCTCGTCTCTCTGCCTTCGCTTCCTGCAGATTTAGGCAGCCTTTTCTTCTTATGCAAAACAAAACAACAAACAAAAGAGTTGGCCTAAAAGCACCCAACTACCTGTGCGGTTTGTCATCCTGCACTACAGGACTCGCAGCGAAAGAACCCATGAATAAAACATTCAGAACAAACTGTTCCCGACTCAAAATCAGCCAAAGAGCATCGCGGCGCCGCCCACGTGCTGCATGATTGACAGGGGATCAGAGTGCGGGCAGGTGCTGCGACACCACAGCTGCTGGAGAAGAAAACTGCAGCCAGATTAAAACAGAAAAAAAAAAAAAACACGCATCATGCTGGTGATTAAACTTTTAGAGGCAGAAGCTACAGATGTAGGCACAGATTGTCACACTTAATGTAGGAGCTGTGAGCAAAGTCGCCGACATTAACTACGTTTGCCTTTATTCCACTAAACACAGACTCTCATTGCACTGCCATTAACACTTCTCCTGTTATAAAAGAAGATTATAACGTTGGGCTCGATTTGCTTGTTCGCTGCTGTCTGTTGGCATGGCAACCATACTGCCTTTGACTGGCCAGATTTGTGTGTATTAAGTAGGATAGGAAGCGAATGGTGACAGCAAATCAAAACAAACACAGAGGTGGTGTCTGGTGATGGACTGAAAATAAAATATAAAAAAATAAAAATAAAAACGAACCGAGACCCACCTGGACCACCTCGGTGGTTACTTCCAGCTTACTGAAGCGGTAGATGATGACGTTGGCTGACACGCCGGCCACACAGAGCACCCGGCTCTCTGGGCACCAGGCCATAATCTGAATGGCGAAAGGATCTTCGTCCGACACCTCCGCGTTGCCCTTGTCCTCCTTAGACCGGTTCCTGTCGAACACCTTGGCTGTTTTTAGCTTATAGAGCACCTGGAGCATTACTGAAGGGAGGAGAAGTGTCAGTAGCGTGAGGTCATAAGAAATGTAGAAAAATTTCAATCTAATCAACAACTGCTTAACTTCCATTACTCATGGAAGAGAATATATTCCTTAGATTATGTTTTAATTTATGGGCAAGTTTCATTCATAATTTCTCTGATTTGCCTCTCAGTTTAGCATGTATTCATAGTTCCATGTCTCAGTTGTTGGTTACCAAATTAAATGAGAGAGGGAAAAAAAAGCTTTAGTGATGATCACATACTTGCGGAGGCATCCCAGAACTTTACTGTTCCATCAGCGTGCCTGCAGAAAAATAACAGAACAAAAGAGAAAAAAGAATCAATATGTAAAGAAATATTGTAACTTTTAGGGCTGTGTGTTATGGTGCCCAATTGTCAGGTGTGTATAAAGCAGAGATTTTTAACCCATGGGCCGCGGCCCACAATTGGATGCCACCTTGAGGGCCTCAAAAGAACAACAGCTTTTAACTTTGGGCCGCGGGACAGCATTGAATTTGAATAAGGTGCAATACACTTTTTCGCCACTAGTGGCAGTAGTGTGCCACTCAGATGTTTAACAACGTTTTTAATACGTACAAGAAGAAGCTTAGAAACCTGCCGAGAGTAGAAACCTATTTCAAATGAAAAGTAGAAGGCAAAAATGAAGGCAACTTGTCAAAAAATGCCAAAGTTTGTCACTAATATGAAGAGCAGCTTCTGGTTCTACCAGGTTTGAAAAGGCTTTTTTTTTCAATTGCACTTTATCAAACTTATTTTTACAGTTTTTTATTGTTATTTGAAACATTTACATTAAACATTTTGAATGTATTTATTTTATGACCACAATTTTATTTACTGAATTGTCTATTTATGCTATTGCTTATGTTAAAAAAAATGTTATTTTTGTGTTGATAAGCCTGAGTGCTCTGTTGGCTGACAGTTGTATTTGTTCAAATAATTGTTATGGGCAGGTTACAATATAAAAAAATGATTGTTATAATCATGTCTTGTGATTATTTGACAGGAGTTTTACTTTTAAATAAACTGTTAATGTTTTTAAATTAGTTATAATGTAAATGCAATACAAATTAAACCATGATTTAGAATAATAATTACCTAATTTCCCTCTGGGATCAATAAAGTATTTTTGAATTGAATTGAACTGAATTATCATTTTGATCCATACATTGATGATGTCTGACTGGGCCTCGTGTCACTTTATGTTCAACTAATTGGGCCCCGAGGTCAAAAAGGTTACTTGATAGAACTCGACACCAACCATCGCTGATGTTCCCCGTCACCATTCAGTAGTGACCAACTGGAATCACCACAGCCCTTCATTGTTTAAATAATCTCATAAGGTGAACATACAGACCGACGGGGGGGCTAAAGTGATCTTGTCAAACTGTTACATAAACAAATTTAGCAGGTCTTCCTTATGATGCACACAAAATTTGATTGAGATCGGATCCTATATGTGTGTGATTTAGAGTGCGGTGTCTAATTAGGCCACGCCCTCCAAAAATTGTACTGCATTCCTTTAGTGGGTTGATTTGTTTCTTAGTTCAGGTGATGACTGCAGCTAATAAGAGGTAACTATCAGTATTCCAATATAATGCTTTATCAGTTTGGTGTTATTTGTTTAAATGGAAAGGATTTTAATGAATCTTAATGCAACCTATGGTCATGGTTCCACATTTGGTTTTGTGCTAAAACAGGCCGTAACAKATCACACAATCCTAGGCTCCACTAGACTCTTTGCGACAAACGTGTAAATATTAAAAAAAGGGTCAACATGCAAGTTATTTTTCATTCTTTTCAGCCACTTCTTGTTATTTTTTGTTGCCAACTCAGCTGAATGGACAGGCAGCAAAACTCCCTGACACTCTCAAACAGACAGAAACCTGGTCAGAATAGTAATATAGCATGAAAGAGTTAGAAAGGAGAGCAAAGGAGCAAGAGCTTCTTCTTGCTTTATCCATAATTCAATGTCACCTCCCCGGTGCTTTATTATAAAAACACTGCTTTGCCCTTTGTTGACAGGTCRTTTTGGTGTAATAAACATCAAAATGGCGCAAATTGCACCTGACTCGGTTACATGATAAAAATGGGGGAAAYGATTCTTGCTGGGGCGAGCTGACGGAGCAGTTGGGGTGAAAGTGATTACAGCAGAATGATCATGATAAAACTAATGAAAGTGTCTCACCCAGTGATGATGATCTCTGAGTAGCTCTGCGTGCCTTGACCCCAGTTTCCACCACTAATAGGCCATTCCTGGGTACACAGGAGATACAAGGTGAAYGAGAAAGGCTTACACAAGCACTTGTGTCAATATAGAAGCATCATTAAAAGGAYTGGCTTYGTAAATGTCATTAACACTTAATATCTTCTTTGTTGACAGTTGTGTGAACAACTTCAGTTTTGAGAAATAGGCCCCGTTCAGACCTGGCTCTAACTTGTGTTAAATGATTCAACTAGGGTTGGGCAATAAATCAATAGCATTATATATATCGCAATATACACATTAATTAATATCAATAGAAAATACATTTGATTGACTAGCAACATGTTGAGTAACATGTGCAGTAAAAGTTTCATGTTTTGCAGCTGTGCCTTATAACTGCTTAAAAAATAAAAAAGATGAGTGAAAGGAGAAAATGAGTGCAACAACTTGAGAGGACATTGTGGATAAAAGAGGAAAGGTCACTAGTTTGGCAGGATTAATCAGCCTTTATTCACCTGGTTCACATTATAAGTAGATAAAACAAAAAACAAATCAATAATTATATGATACATTTTTCAGCCATACCGCCCAGCCCTASATTCAACTACAAGAGGCCAGTGGCGGATCTAGGATTTTTCTGAGTAAGGGGCCATCAAGGGGCCACAATATTCATAGAGGGGCCAAGTATTTGTTCAACATCCTGGCACTCAAATCACTGGTTTTGKTAAGGTGTATACATTTTACCAGTCACATGTTCAAGCACTTGTAATGTAATGTAATTTAATGTAAAAGCTTGAACAGTAAATTATCCTTGGCAATTTTACATTTATTTTTACTGTAAGTAGATAAAATACTTTCAAATACACAGCATATGAGAAAATCCAGCCATCATTTGTCAGATGAAAGACTTTTTCTGCAAGATTGTTTAGATTTTCTTAAAAGAGAAGAATTCTGTAAAACTGATTCATGCTGGACTTTCTTATTTGACTCATTAGCGCCACTAGTGTTTGGACATGGAACTGCATCCACCATCACCATTCTCAGGCAAAGCACAGATGAGTGACAGGACAGGGGCACTTCAGGGGGTCAATCAGATTTCAGCTGGGACCAATGCCCCTGTGGCCCCGCCCCTAGAAACGCCCCTGCAAAAGGCCAAGTCCAGTTAAGATTATTCACACCTAGAATTGAATGTCGTTCATGTGCTGCATTTAAATACACACACATCTGCTGATGTTTCTGTAAGATTTACAACACATCCAGAACTACCATWTATCATGTTTTGATTAACAGTTCAGAGCTGATTACCTAACATTTCTGCAAAATAATAAGAGGCAAGAGCCATTCAGCAACTCCTTCTGTAGACAACAGTTTGAATCAGAGTAGCCACGATTTTTCCACTCCCCTTTTAATACCGTACTGATTAATGTTCTCTGAAAGTGCACAATAAGAGAGCATCTCTGTGACTTCAGAACTGCCAGAGGGAACATCGACATGGGATGGGCTGTTTGGTGGTACTGCCTGCTGAAAGACAGATTTCAGTGGGATCAGTTTAAAGAGTAACTTAACCCAAAATTAACATTTTTTTAGCTGAAAAACTGTCTAGAATGTGTCTAAAATGTTATATAGTACTGTTTCTGTACTAATTTTGATGTTTTTGCGCGTATTTGTTCAAATCTGTAATATATGGTCTAAAAACGGGTTTTTTGCTGCTCATATG